GACTGGAGGATCTGCGCTGTGCGGTCTGCAGCTGGGGGGAAGGCAGCCGTGACCAGCGCCACGGGCGAAGGCGCGTGCGGATGGGGGGGGGGGGCGCGCCGAGCACTTCCCCCCCCACCCCAACCCTTGGACCCAACCTTGAAGGAACGTGGCGGGGGGGTCGGGCAGAAGAGGGACACTGGAGACGACGCCACCGGGCACGGGGCAAGGGTGGCGGGGCGCCCGGCCGAGGATGGAGGGGCGGGCGGGAAGGTGTAGGAGAGCCGCCTTTCCCACCCGACCCCCACTCTGCACGCCGCCCCCCACCTTCTCGCGCGGCCCCTCATCCCCTACCACTGGAAAGGCCACCGGACCCGACCGCCCGCCCGGGGCGCGCCGCCTTCCAGACGACTTTCCCTCCCTTACCTTCCCATCTGGCGTCGCTGGGGCGGAGGAGAGACACAGGAGCCGAGCAGGGCAAGGCTAGGCCACCGCGCTGCTCTTGGAACCGACCACGTTAATGATCCTTCCGCAGGTTCAACTATGGAAACCTTGTCAGCTAATCTGTCTATAATTCAGGGATACATCTGTGTCTCTCTTTCTGTTTTGCATATAGGGTTATCATTACCATCTTTCTAAATTCCATATATATGTGTTAGTATGCTGTAATGTTCTTTATCTTTCTGGCTTACTTCACTCTGTATAATGGGCTCCAGTTTCATCCATCTCATTAGAACTGATTCAAATGAATTCTTTTTAATGGCTGAGTAATATTCCATGGTGTATATGTACCACAGCTTCCTTATCCATTCATCTGCTGATGGGCATCTAGGTTGCTTCCATGTCCTGGCTATTATAAACAGTGCTGCGATCAACATTGGGGTGCATGTGTCTCTTTCAGATCTGGTTTCCTCAGTGTGTATGCCCAGAAGTGGTATTGCTGGGTCATATGGCAGTTCTATTTCCAGTTTTTTAAGAAATCTCCACACTGTTTTCCATAGTGGCTGTATTAGTTTGCATTCCCACCAACAGTGTAAGAGGGTTCCCTTTTCTCCACACCCTCTCCAGAATTTATTGCTTGTAGACTTTTGGATTATCTATAGTGAAACAGATCACCAGCCCAGGTGGGATGCATGAGACAAGTGCTCGGGCCTGGTGCACTGGGAAGACCCAGAGGAATCGGGTGGAGAGGGAGGTGAGATGGGGGATCGGGATGGGGAATACATGTAACTCCATGGCTGATTCATGTCAATGTATGACAAAACCCACTGAAATGTTGTGAAGTAATTAGCCTCCAACTAATAAAAAAATTTTTTAAAAGCCAGTTCCAGAGTAACACTGGTTCCATATTTGATAATTTACTATTGATTATTAAAATTCTTTCACTTTCAAATTAGTGTCAGTTTTAAATATGAATGCACTACCTTGCCTAAAATGAAAGGGTGTTACTGGGAATAAATCAGTTGGAATATATTTAAAAAAATAATACAGGGATAAAACTATGACTACAGAAAGGAAAGATGACCTGACCTAGGATGGCCATGATATTCTATAGAACAAGAGAAAATTGGTTAAAATAAAAAAAAATTTATTGGAAACTGTAAAGCTGGTTCTTTTTCATATGCAATTAAAAACATATTAGCTTGTTAAAAAGGCCTGCCTAGGGCAAAGCTTGAAGTTAACCCTTTCCTTGAAAAACACTGCCCACTTTGCCTGAGACCTCAGCCTTGGGCAAATGAGAACTTTAACACCCCGCCCCCCCCCCAAAAAAAAGGAAGTCAAAGAGATATTTTAAATCTTAGGCAAAAAACTGGAAGATCTCTGTCTGTGTGGATTTATGTATGTCTCAGTGTGAGTCTTCTGTTTTTTGATAATACTGCTGAAGTTGTAAGTGAGTTCTTATTTAAATAATCTAAAGAAAAGGAAGCCCTTACAAATCAAACAGCTCTAAATACAAGAAAAAATTGACCTAAATGAATTTTGGATTCATGTGAATTGGGAAATAGTCAATATTAAATATCTAGTATTTTTTTTCACCACTCTAATATAGACAGGTCTAAGAGTCATTAACATTAAGCATAAACTTGTCATAGTACCTAGGTTTATTATGAGTTAAATATTGCTATATTGTTATATCTGTCACAAGCTTGTCAACAAAGAAAGTTCCTCTAAAAACTAACAAAAAAACTCCTAAAAAATGTAAATGTGATATAAGCTTTTAGATAAACTATTAAAAATAATTATACTTTAAATATCTGTCTATAATAGTCTGGATTGAAGGCAGAGGAGAAAGGGACAACAGAGGATAAGATGGTTGGATGGCATCACTGACTCGATGGACATGAGGTTGAGCAAGCCCCGGGAGTTGGTGATGGACAGGGAAGCCTGGCAGTCTGCAGTCAATGGGGTTGCAAAGAGTCAGACACAACTGAACTGAACTGAACTTACAATAGTTTCTCCAGATTTTGGTTACCTGAATTTCTATCATTGTGCTAAACTAAGTGATGACAGTGTATTGAATAGCTAGGTCATTTCATAAATTAAGGTTCTGAAACATTCACTACTTGACAGGACCTTCCTCTTACACAGAAACTAAAGAGACTTTGACTATCCATGAATAGTGTCTGGTGCCATCCTGAGATTTTCAGTGTAAGAAAGCAATTTTTTAAAGATAGTATCACTGATACGTATGTTCACCAATCTGTAAAATGCCAATATAAAAGTTCTTGGTTGCTTAAGGAAAATGTATGACTTGTTATTAAAGAAGGTACAAGGAAAGAAATCGCATTTTATGAAGGAAAAAGAAGTAGTTCTGACTTACAGGTAGCAGTTTCAGGATGGGAGAAGCAAAGGAATGGATACAGAATGGGATAAGGAGGTTTTATGGAAAGTGGACCCCCAGAACAGAGTTTTGTGCCTAGTACAAGCTTTCTTGAGATGCTTAACTGCCTTTGCTAATGGATTTTAAGTTTCTTTACCTCTTAAATGATCTGTCCTAGGTTTACCTTTGAAATCTTTTGTTAATTTTGGCTAAGTGGATAAGAATTGTTTCACAGCCTACCTGACTGTTATAAACCCTTTTGATATTTATGAACAAACCTTCCTAAATAATTGACTTCTAGCTAACTTTGGGATGCTTCAGAGGGCCCCTGAGACCTCCCAAAGAGAGATATTAAACAACCTGAGTTCATTTGGCATATTAAACTACATGGCAAGTGTTGTCAGAAGGAGTGATTGAATCTTCTCAATTTATATTGTATGGTTGATGATACTAATATAGATATCCTAGAAATTATGTGACATTCATGAAAATCTGATATGTTCTGGTAAAATGCTGTTATAATTCGAGTTATCATATTAAAGTGTTTCAAATTGCAGCAATGACCAGATTACTTTGTCAATTTCAATTTAATCAGATTTTAAACATGCCTTCTATGATTTCACACTGATGCCTTTGCAAAAATACTGCTACTTCAAGATATATGGAAAAGACCTTTCTAAGCTTACCCATAAACAATTTTTTGCTTGTTTGTTATCTGGTAAGCTGGTACCAAAACTAACACTTTTAATATAATAATGTTCCCTAACAATCATGTGAAATAAATCAAATTCTGAGGCATTTTAATTGTGACTTGACTGACTTTAGACTGCATTGGACTTTACTTCAGAATCGGACCAGGGAGGCTCCCCAGGATGGGGTGGGGTGCTGGAAGATGGGTGGTGCTCACCTCTCCCAGCTGTGAGCTTGCTCTTCCCCCTGCTGTCCTGCTTGATGCCAAGTTCCTTGCCATACTCGTCCCCATACCAGGCCAGCTGCTCACAGCCTGGCCTGACCACCTGGAAGGTTCCATAGAAGATCTGCCCGTGATACTGCAAGGCCACCAGGTTCTGTTCCTCATCATCCCGGGCACAGTTCACATACCTGGGATCAAGGCCAGGAAAGGGAAAGAAACCACAGGTGACAAGACCCCCTCCACTGTCGGACCATGCCCGGCTCCTTGCCTTCAGGCTCTGAGGCCGCCATGGCTCCCACCACACCTCATGGGGACCTTCCATTCACATCTTTGACAAGGCCGTGTGAATTCCTATTTCCAGATCCTGTTTCCGGTCCTCTTCCTGGCTGGAATGCTTTTCTCTCCTTACCTAATTAGCCATTTTATACAGCCCAGTTCCATACTTGTCTCTGCCTGGACTGTCCTTAAGACTGGTGACCTCCAGCCCCTCTAAAGTCTGAATTAAGTTCTCTTTAAGTCCACTGGACTTGGTGCTCTTAGGCTAACATGCATGCCTCAGCAGTTACCCCAGCCTGCCTTCTCTCCCGAGGCTTTTCTCCAATCTCCCCACGTGTATCCAGGGTGCTATTCACTTGACCACCCCTTGGTGAGTGCTCTATCATAGCTTGAGATACACAACAGTAATAGTTTATTCACTTTCTGCCTGCCCTGATGAAAGGAGAGGCCCTCAGAGAATGGCCATTCTCACAGCCATCCTGCCCTACATTCCTCCCAGACCTCAGGGCCCACTTTTCACTGGAACTGAGTCTGGGGAAGATGTTGCCCACATGGACTCAAGGTCTCCCTTGTTAGGTTATCCTGGCACTGTGCCATTATTTTAAAAAATTAAGGTTGCTATTCCTAAAATTAATTGCTTAATGTCTGTCTTCTGTATGTTCTCCAAAAGAACATGTGTTGTGTGATCTGCTTCAGTAATGGAGTTCACTGTATACACTCGGGCATAGAGTGCTTGGTAAGTGTCAATTACGTGAGTTAAAGTGTCCTGGTGAATCTAGACTCCTCAAGTTGTTTTCAAGTGCCTCAGTTTTGTCGAACATATAGACTTATATTTTGTGGACACATGCTCTTTTTCTTTCTTTCTTTCTAATGTCTTTTGAAATGAAAGAGCATTGTATGGAGGGAAAAGAGGAAAGAAGATGTGAAAATTATTGAGGGAGACGGGTTGAGAAGGATGAGGGTGTGGGCTTGAGAGAGGATCGACATCTACAAACCGCAGACTCGCTGCACTCACCTCACCCATTTGGCCAAAGACGTGTCCTTTCCATCCACATACTTGTAGCTGCTTCTCCCTTTGGTGATCTGAGTGTCAGAAAAGAGATACAAGCTTTCTTCTCTCCTTTATTATTATTATTGTTATTTTTGGTTCGAAGTAATAGAAGAACTATTTCTCTCTACTGTCGTTGGTGCTCTTCAGCCTGCATGGATTCAGCTGCCAGTTGGACCACATGGTAAGCACCTTAATCATCATTCCAAGCCTCAATCTATTGGCACATTGAAGGAAGGGCTCCACAAGTGAGGAGTCACTTCTGTATGCCTGTACCACTGTCTCCCACCTCTCCTCTGACCTTTTGGATAGAGGTCCTGTGTGTCTGTATACTGTGGTCCCAGCTCTCCTCTGACCTTTAGATGGAAGTCCTGTGTTCACGCCCAGGGCACACAGTACACAGCACTGACTGTATCATTGCCGACCATGTTATCACCATCTGCGTCCTCGCATGTAGACACGAAGTACCTCCCACAACATACAAGCGATTAGAGGCCAGAGGACAGGGAAACGGGTGCTTCTCACCAGCCAGGCATATCCACTGTTGTCGGCCTCTTCGTCGTCTGTGATCTGGCCCTCATAGGGGCCAAAGTGCAGGCCCAGTGGCAGATCGGATGCCTCGTTCCACACTCCAAGCCCAGCATCAGGGATGCCTGACAGTCTGATGTTTAATCCAGGGGGCAGAGTGAGTGCTGAGCGGTTGGCGTGCCCCTTTTGCACTGCACAGTCCTTTACAAAGGCTGGGGGCCCATGGGCAGCACAGCTGTCGATGAAGAAGTTCTGACACTCCTCACAATCTGGAGGTGAGAGCAACAGGGATGAGGGGAGGTATAGTGATGTTGTTGGTTGTAAAGACCTTCAGAAAGAACTATGGCACTCACGGCATTTGGCCTCGATCCTGTACCCCAAGTCATAGAGGAAAGGGATGACTGGGGGACCAAATGGTGAGGTGAGGTTATTGGACCAAGGCCTCATAACCTCTTCTCTGCAAGTGGACCAACGGGGTCACTCACACAGGTAGTCATCATCCTGGGGCTCGTTGACCTCTTGGTACATGTGGCCCTTTCTTTCTCATAGACTGTACCTCTTCACTCCAGTCTCCTATCTTCTGAGTTCTAAGATGGAGGACAGAAGCTAAGCAAGGCTGGTGGGGTCTGGGGAGTTAGTCCCTGTTTTATCAGAAAGTGTGAGATCTCCTACCTGTCCATCTATACACTTTGTTAAAACTTTTTCACATTTATTTTTCAATCTTTTACTTTTGTATTTTTATGTTTTGATGTAACAATATTGATTTATTGGCCATGTTGCATGGCTTGTGGGATCTTAGTTCCCTGGCCAGGAATGGAACCCACACCTCCTGCAGTGGAAGCGTGGAGTCTTAACCACTTAACCCCCAGGAAGTCCCTTCTCTATACTTTGTTACTTCTCCCTTTAACTACTGGTTCAGGAGACTGAGGCGCCACACTGACCACAGATGCCCAGTTCAGTGATAGCGTCTGGCACTTCCCGTTAGTAGGTTTAACTTCCGAACCTTCTTACTTAGGAAATAGTTCACTGACACATCTACTCAGAAAATATATGTTAAGGGTACATGACATGTAAGGCATTGAGCAGAGGTCTGGGCACTAATAAAGCATGGTCCCTATCATCACAGCTGGATTTATTGAACTACTTGTAGGTGTCAGCACTTTTGCATTTAATGTAAAGCTTCCAAACACTATATGAGTTATGTATCCTATCTTCACTTTACAGATGAACAATCAGGACCTCAGAAAATGTATAAGATTTTCCCAAGGCCCCACTGCTAACTTCATGTCTCAGATCAGTCCAGCTTAAACCCACACCTACCCAAAGTCCATGCCACACACCTAGGCCATACTTATTAGCTTTTCTACAGGGATTAGAGGAACTAATTAGAGGAACTCCCCAAATTTTCTCTTACTGACTTTTGTCTGGGGTGCTGTCCAGGGGTCCTTGCTTCTCTGGGATGGGGCACTGGTTTCTGAAACTGCTTGGAACCACTTGTCTTCAGCAATTTTGTTGCTCCCAGCAAGATCTTCAAACTACATACCTTACTTAATGGTCCCCTGGACATTCCCTTCCATGTGAGTAAAAGACAACATGCATTTCTTTAGTTCTTTAGGATTTTATGGAGTATTTTCACATGCATGACTTCAATTAATACTTGGACAATTCTTGGAAATACCTGGTGGAGAGGGGGTCTGAACACTGGAGTGTAAAGCAAGGACCTAAGTGGCTAGTGAATCAAAACAGAGTGCATATCTTAAGGTTCTTTCCCTTCATAAAAGTGAGATCAAGGCAGGGAGAATAGCTGGAGGTCAGCGAAAGAAGAGGGTAAGGGCTCATAGAGAAATCCGGCGAGGGGCGGGGGGTGTGTTTCTATTAATTAGTAGACCTTTGATGGGTGAGGGAGTATGGAAAATTACAGAGGGGACAAAACACATCTGGAAAATAAGCTGACAAAACAGTGAGTTTGAGAAGAGAAAAGATGATCGAGAGAAACACTTTTAGACAATAAAGAAAGTGAGCTGAAAGTTGTAAGTTGCCTGTCCTACAGACAATGTTTGGAATTAAAGTAGCTGGCCTCTTCAATTCTGCTTAAAGAAGGCTGTATGATGAGTTGGTTCTCCTCAGTTTCCTGATCCATAAGTTAGTATACATGGTAATTCTTAATGTTATAGTAGATATGAAATTTAATAACATTCAACAGATCATTGGGTGAGCTATATAATACAGTATGAATGTGAGTGCACATCCCTGCCATTAATATATCTCTTCAACTGCCTCTGTATTTCAAGTCTAGCTCACAAATACTATCTTCAGCATTCCTTGACCTTCTTATTAATATATGAATGTTCAAATGTGGAGTCACTCATTCACAAAACATTCAGGGGGCCTTGAGGGGCTTTGGGCTGGGCCTGGACTTCTGAGAATTAATGAGTATGAGCTAGGCTCTCAAAGCTCACAACACAGGGGCAGGCTAAACAAATGATTCCAAATAGGAGACTTGCCTAATCAGAGTTCAGAGGAAGGAGTTGTTACTTCCTCCTACAAGAATGAGCATATGAAATCATGTCCAGATGATAAGTTTCTACTCAAAAGCAGGTAACCTATGTGAAGTCCTTCAGTTATTTCCTTATTTGTTGCTTCTGAGTCATGAACCTGAGGCTTGTCAGGGCTGCAAGTTGCTTCCTCTTATTGGAGTAAGAAACTCTGATGTAGGGATCATGTCGCCTTCTTCATCTTGGACCATCCACTCTAAAAACTGCCCAACATGTCCTTACTTCCCTTAGTCAGATGTCAGTAGATACCTCAGTAGCACAGCACAAAAGAACTGAGGTTGAAAACATCTCTCAGATGAATGCTATAAAGATGTATAAATAAGATGTATGAAGAAACTTTATAGAACTATGGAAGTTTTAACGAGTTTGCAAGGGGTTTAGAGAAGGTGCTTTGGGTTAGATTGCACTACAAGTGATACATAATCAAGCATTTTTTAACCTCAGTTTCTTGATCTATACTGGTGATCACTATATCCCTACTTATAGGTACTGTAGGATTGTTTTAAGGTTTATGTAAGTTTATTCACATAAAATGCTTAAAGTCTGAAATATTGTGAAAATAATGTAACAATAGAAGAGCTACTGTTGTTGCTGTTCTTACTAACTATAAAGATGGTGATGATATCAGACATTGTGCTAAAGATTCGGGACAGGAAGGCAGCACTCTCCAGGATCTCTGTGTGAAAACTATTCTCACCTATTCTCACCTGTGACTGGATCCACGAGGAGGATGTTTTTGTCAACAGGATTTGGGAAATACTCACCTTCTGGTGTTTAATGTGCTCCTCTCTGAGGGCCATCCTAGAAGGTTCACCTAGAAAATGATGAGAATCCGTGTTTTGGTTGGTCAATGTTTCCAACCTCTGGGCTTTCTAATTAAGGGCGCAGGATTCTGAGCCAGAGAGTGACAAGGACAAGGATTACCAAAGGAGGGATGGAAAGTGATTTCTGTGTCATCAACACCTATGCTTCCACCGGGAGCATTACACAATTTTCTTAAAATTAAAAAAAAGGTGAAACTTCATCTGTGCTTCATCTGATGTCCATAAAGTATGTAATAAATTTACTAGCCTCTCATTACAAAAATACTCAACAAAGTAGAAATAGAAGGAAGTGACTGCAATATAATAAAGATTCTATATGAAAAGTCTATCTCTAACATCATAGTCATCATTGAAAAGGTGAAAACGTCTAAGATCAAGAAAAAAGACAAGAATGCCCTTTCTCAACACTTCTATTCAACATAGTATTAGAAATCCTAGCCAGGACATTAGATTACAAAAGCAAACTAAAGCCTTCCATTTAGAAATAAAGAAGCAAAATTATATCTGTTCAAAGAGGATATGATTTTATGTGCAGAAAATCTTTAAAATTCCAGACACACAAAAAACCTACACAGAAAGTTGCATGGTACAAAATCAACATTCAAATAGTTTTCCATGCATGAACAATGACTATTCCAAAAGGAAAATAAGAAAACTATATTATTTATTTTTTTAAGTTATAGTCAAGTGCTAAGTTTAAATTTAAAAAAAAAGCTGTTTATTTATTGATTGGTACCAGGTCTTTCTTGTAGCATGTGGGGTCTTGTTCCCTGACCAGGGATGGAACCCAAGTTCTCCGCACTGGGAGTGTGGAGTCTTAGCCACTGGACCACCAGAGAAGTCCCAATAATCTTGTTTATAATAGTATCAAAAAGAATGAAATAACTGGGAGTAAACTTAAGGAGATGAAAGACTTATACATTGAAAACTACCAAGTATTGCTGAAAGGAGTCTGATACAAGTAAATACAAAGGTGTCTCACGTTTATGGATTTGGAGACAATGTTATTAAGCTGTTCATACTACCCAAAGCAATTTAAAGATTCAATGCAATTCCTATTATAATCCCAATGGAATTTTTCTCAGATATAGAAAATCCATCCTACAGTTAATACAGAATCTCAGAGACCCCCAAATAGGCAAAACAATCTTAGAAAGAACAGCAAAGCTGGAGGCCTTTGATTTCAGAATATATTACAAAGGTACAGTAGCTAAAAAGTGTAGTTTTGGCATAAAGTGTGTGCTTAGTCACTCAGTCGTGTTGACTCTTTGCTACCTTTTGGACTGTAGCCCACCAGGCTCCTCTGTCCAGGGGAGGACAATTCTCAGGCAAGAATGCTGGAGGGGGTTGCCATTTCCTTCTCCAGGGGACCTTCTTAACTCATGGATTGAAGCTGCATCTCCTGTGTCTCCTGCACTGAAGGCAGAGTCTTCACCTGCTGAGCCACGGAGGAAGCCCACTGGCATTAAGACAGCCATACCAATCAATGGAACAAAACAGACAGCCAGAAATAAACTCTTGGATACATGGTCTAACGATCTTCATCAAGGGTGTCAAGACAACGGGGAAAGTTTAATCCCTCTAACGAATGGTGCTGGGGAAATAAAATATCCATATGCAAAATAGTGAAGATCTTGCATCATGAAGAAAAATCAACTCAGAATGGATTAAATACCTAAATGTAAGACTTGATAAGACTCCTAGAAGAAAACAAGGTTGAAGTTTCAGGACATTGAATCAGCAACAATTTCTTAGATCTGAGAGCAAGGTTACAAGTTATTAGTAGCAAAGTAAAAATAGACAAATGAGACTACATTAATCTCAAAACATCTGTGCAGCAAAGGGCACAGAGCGAAACAGAGGAACAGAGTGAAACAAAGGAACAGTGAACAGATCACCTACAGGATGGTAGAAAATATTTGTACAATATGTATCTGATAAGGGGTTAATAAGCATACACCAATACAAAGGCTACCTATAAGCCAGGAAGAGAATCTGATTGACCACGATGGCACCCTGATATCAAACTTCCATGCTCCAGCATTGGAAAAGAACAAATTTCTGTGGTTTAAGACATGCAGTCTGTTTTGTTATGGTAGCCTGAGCTGACTAACACAGTGGAAGAAGGAATTAAATAGACATTTCTCCAAAGAAG